TCATCCGCCCAGTAGGATGGACCAGCAGGAGGCTCAGTTTAAGACCCATCTACGGTGACGAAAATAAGCAAAGCTATTATCAGGAATACCACATTTTTATCTTTGCTATGAGGGGACAAATTCGTTTCAACTACTGAGTTTTAGCGAAAAGCCTGCCCCATTAGCTTCAATTACCAACGAGGTTTGCTACCAATAACAACCAATACGTAATGAACTCACATCACCCTCTCCTAGGCTGCACTCCTCTCGTTCTGATGCAGTTATTCCGACGATTACACATTAATGGGGAAGCACTGAATTCAAGTTTTGCTATTATTAGAGCCCATTGGCAGCGCAAATCCTTGGGCATGCCGGGGTTCGAACTCTGAACATTTGGAATATTAGGCAAGCGTGTGATCAATACTACACCAATCCATGCATCTGAAGTTTTACATTCGAAAAGGCAAACACATTCACTTTTGATTTTTTGGCCTGAATGAGGACTCAGTAGCTGTCCGCTTGTGTCGATCGATTGGCCCGCCGGTCACAACTTCCTAGTCAGACGCTTGAAGCATTTCCGACAATTTTTGGACTAGCTGTAAGTCGTTGCAGGATTTGTACCATTCACCTTCATAACAGTTGCTGTCCTGCTGTCCTGGAGTGTCAATACTAGAATAGGGAGGCACTGCGTCCGAGTTTCCCTCTATTGAAAATGCAACATGTTCCCCGGAGTGCTTCGTGCAAAACTGATCTGTTCAGGCATTTTGGTTTAGCTACCAATTTGTCGTATGAAACTTCTCAGAGAGAGCTTTACTATCGTGAAAGCTAAAAAGTAGTTAAAACACTGTAAACAATGGATCCAGCTGGGTTCCATGTGAGTCACTGGAAACACCGAATTAGTTTGCAAATGAGTGTATTCCGCTAATTTCTTGAAATTTGGTCTCAACTCAAGTATGGGGTCGATGAAATCCCGGGTAACGCGCCTACCCCCAAGAAGGGTCGAAGAATTTTCAGCAACCTTTTGAGTAATGTACTAAGTCTACAAATGTATCGCAATGTCTGGAATATCGTAACAACTGAAACATGAGGCGGCTTGGCGCAGCACAGTCAGTTACTTGAAAACACCATAAACGTGAGGTCCAGCTGGATTCCAATCTCTCGGAAAACCGAATTTGTTTTTAAATTACCAAATTTCGCTAACAAGCAGTAGGTTTATATATGTGGTAGACTGTCACGTTATATGTGGCTGTTGAATCTTCAATACGACAGAATATATTAGAAAACAATGAGTTGGAACTGAGATGGCGTAGTCAAATGTCATTTCATTGAGGCAGTCTTAAAAAAAGACCGGGCTTGATCTTGAAGAACGTGTCTAGCAGAGTTTTGTGCAGCTCACTGAGAGTCATATTTAAATGAAGCGAAAACACGCCCCAGCTTCCAGTGGACACATTAAAACGACCTCAATAAGTGCATCAATATGCCCCAACCCCGATTTAAAACATGCGAGGAAGAAGGTTAAATGTTAGGACTGAATTTACGCGGGACGGTAGTCGCAATGGAACGATGGCGCTACTCAGAAGAACTAGAAGGAGGTGGCATTTTGTATAGAGGCAATATGACTTTTGTCCTCTACAAAGCGCCTGGCACAATCGGAATCTCTCTGTGGACGGGAGGCTACGATCCCGATTACTTTACATACCGAAAGAAATGAGATCACAGATTTAACTGCCTACTCATGACTTGTACCCTAGGTGGAGAATGTTCATCCCCCAATATGTTCTTTCAATCGCGTCCTGTGAAAAGCGTTTGTTGTTTTCACACTGCAGGCACCCGTAATCTCTGGAAAAGTTTATCCAGTGCTCAGATGGGTATCTGTTTATGAATGCCGAGGATTGTATTGCTTACATTCACTTCAACAGTTTTTGTGGTCCCTCATGATCCTGAGCTACTTGAAGGTATAGTAAGCCTTGTGCAGTCTATTCATGGTCTGGATGCTTAGGCGTCTGATGAAGTCGAAAATTCAAGGGGTAGGTGTAACCAAAGGTTTACTTCAGGTCGCACAACTATGGCCATCACTGACAAAAGCCCAAGATGAGAACCCCGGTGCTTTACTACCGTTTAAAGGAAGAAGGCCTTCGCTGCGGAGTTATTTATTGGAAAGTGCCAATTGACCAGTTACTAACTATTGGACAGGGAAGCAAACTCTCATTTGTATCCTATTTACAAAAACTGAACATCCATCTTCTCTTGAACGGGTCTTCCTGAACTTTCCTGGATAGTCACCGACTGTGGCTAAAATGCAAGCAAATGCTACAAAGCGACTCCACGAAGTCCGCAACAGATCTTACTTTTCAAGAGACGCAATGCGAATTTACCAGAAGAAAACACACCACTCGCATGCCTCCGCCGTTAGTAGTATCACCGTTACACCATGTCAGTTTATTTGAATAAAGTCTTGTATGGGAAGAAAGAACAGGAATAGGGATGTAAACTTGGGACTTGAATTAGAATACCTTCAACACTTATTCGAACAATCTGTCAAAACGCCGCTTAGATGAGTCAGCAACCGTATCGTTCAATGTCTTCAGCTAGGCACACGTAGGGTGACGTGGGCCCGAATCCTGTAAGATGTACGGACACACGAACACTCACAGTTTTCGTAAGCCCTTCATTCTCGTCTGCAACGTTCTTTCAGGTAGGCGATGTCTCAGAACGCATAACACACATGGCCTTGGGTTGCGTCGGCTCTTGACTGAAATGTCACCTGCTTTCACCCGAAAACACTCCTCTGATCACCTGTTTCCGGGTTCCTGGTTCTAGCCGATTCCAGCTGTAGGTCCCAGACATGGACGATCAAAGAACAGGGAAGTGATTCTGTCAGGGAGCGTCCAGACATGAAAAAAGTACATGTGCAGAGAGTGACGCATCCCCAAGGTCACCATCGGTACGATACGTCCAGAAAGTAGGTGAGTTGGCGGCTCTCACCAAACACGGCTTAGCAACATAAGACCAGTGGAGTGGGGCTGAAAGTGTTCACGACCGGAACATCGCCATTGGCTGTACAGAGCGAACAAGTGAACGACCATATTTGGCCATTTAGTCATCCTATATATTACGCAGACGCTCTGTATGTTTTGTCCTGGCAATACAGCCGTGTCTCCAGTTCTTTGTCTTCTCCTTATCGCGTAGTCTGGCAGGCTCAGTGCAGGCGTAACCAATAGACGGCCACCCACGATACAACAGATCACAAAGCCTACAGCAAACAACATTTCCACAGACTTCTACCTCGAGAAAATGTTAAAACCAGTTGTTATTTAGAATCATTTTTTCCGGTCAGCGACTTCTCTAGGCTTTCCAAAAATCCCTAACAAGCATCAACCTCATTTTACTAGCGAGGAAAAACTTGGGCCGGGTGTAAGAAAAATCACTCGATTGCGGTTTCTGTAAACTTTGTAGACGACTTCTTCCAGTAAGCCCAGCGTCATCAGTGGAAACAAGGCACCATTCCTTTGTAAAAGTGATACTACTGATGTGGGTCTGTGAGTAGTATGTTTTGAAGTAAATCGGCTCTGCTTCCCTTGAAAAGTGAAATCTAGTGGGGACCTTGTGGAGCAACAGTCAATGAATATCCGGGAAAGTTTGGGAAGACGCGTTCAACGAGAAGATGGATATAGAGTTTTTGTAAATAAGATGCATTTGAGAGTTTTACTCCCCTGCCCAATAGTCTGTAACTGGTCAGTTAGCATTTTGTAATAAGTAACACAGCACCGAAGACCTTCTTCCTTTTTTCTTGAGAAGGAAAACATGGTAGTTGACATGTGTTAGTGTGCTTTTGTACACAGCGTACACATCATCCCACGCTGAGAGAAGGTCACGTGACTTGATCAGATGATTAGCAGACTACACCGAGAAACCACTCGTATAAGACTGCGGAAATTTACCAAATAATTGCATATAAATAACGGCGTTCGTCTGTTCTCTCTTCAGTTATTTATAAGTAGTACAACAGTCTTTCCAATCACACCTGTGATGTACAAAACTCGAACCTGTAAGGGTGCACACTGAGGAAAGACACGTAAGAAGCAGGACAAGAAAACATCTGGCCAAAAAGGAAGCATTAGTAGTATTTAGTAATTCACATATCATTTCTAATTGGCTGTCTTGTCGTACTCGCTTGAAGAAATTGATAATCAACTGGGTTTCAGTAAACTTTTCCGTCAAAAGTGAAGAAAGATTAGGCGGGAACTAATCAATATTCAAACTATTTCTTTGGCAACTTAATGCAGAATTTAGTCCACAATAGATGTCCGAATCATCAAGATCGACTTGAGACTAAGGCTAATGCCAGGTGATCGGGTACGGGAACACTGATTCTCCCAGTGGCCAGGCTTGCCACATATGTAGCACCACCGGCTCGTTCGAGCGTGCCTCCGTGATTCCGTCTTCACGGCTGCAAGCGAGTTGGTTCACTCTGGTCTGTGGTTTGTCCAATGTCAAATCATCCCTGTTCTCCTGCGGCTGCAACACGGTCGGTGATGCCTCGGCAAATGCCAGTGCGAGATGCACCAGCTCCTCCACACGCAACTGGCCAGTCGCTCTCTTCAACCGCAACTGCGCACCAAGCGCAGGCTGCACTCCTCCGATGAACTGGTTGGACAGCAACTGGTGGCGTGACACTCCGTCCAGCCCCGGCAAAGCGCAATCCAACGACCGCTGTAGGTTGGCGAAGAACACGGTCGGGTCAGATCCTCCGGGTGCCATCCTGGCCGTCTTGAACCGCCTCACAGCCTCCTAGCGGTCGGCCGGTGCGTCGAACTCAGCAACTAAGTCCTTCTCCTTTCATTTTGATTCCGTAATTTACTCATAATCTTAATCAGTAGCTATTGGCGCGCATTTGGCTTCGTTTGTCCCGCTAGAAATATTGATTGTTTGAATTACACACGCCGGTGGGCTTGTTCCCAAAGTCAGTATTCTTCACGCACAGCGTTTCTGACCAATATAAACAGAACGGGGACAGATTTTTACCCCAACTTTATCCGAGGAAAATACACCGACCACCGTAACGGTGATTTGTTAATCGGATCATTCCAGCGGAAATAACGTCTGGGTAGAGCGCTCGTGACTGCTGAGAGTGAAATCGTCTTGGGTGGTAGTACACAAATGTACCTCTCTACTGTGCAGAAAAAAATAACGATAGGTGGGAATGTGATCTGCCCGTAGGATGAGTTGCTACAAACAATTTACTGAACAGAATTCAGAAGAACGGTCAGTATCTTCAACTCATGTGTGAACTACCCCGTTTAGTCAGGTAGACGGAAAATTTCAGCTAATTGCGATTGTTTGTTGTTTGGGTTCAAGTAGAACATATTGTTGACGGAAACTCGGGGACTACACCTACCTGATGAGCCCTAAGAAGGGCAAAACCGGTCGTGGGCTGTCGAAGAGTTTTCAGCAACCTTGTGAGTAGTTTCCTTTATGAAAAAATTGTTTGTCTCGTTTATCCGAGAGTTTTATACGTTCTATGGTGGTTTCACCCTAGAAGTGGAACCAACTTATGCTGAAAAGCCGAGAATGACTGCACAGTACTTTCAATTGTGTTGAGAATCACCAGTAGTGTGCACTTTACGAAACTGAGTGAGTTTCGAATCTGTGATCTTCCTTCCAGTGGTTGGACACCCAATCGTCTAGCCACGAATGGCTGATCAATTACACCAGACGCATCACTAGCAACGACGTGATATTTAAGTGGCTTGGAGATGAACTCCTGATCAGGTATGAATATCTTCGGAGTCGGTTTGAATCTCATGGTCTTACGATTCTGTTATGACGTTTATTTCCCCCCCTCTCACGTGACCTTTGTCAGCAATAATCGCAATTACCTGATTGGGTGAGCAGTGGATGAAAAGAGAAGGCGTTCACGAATTATCTGCGTTCTGAAAAAACAGGTGATCCACTTGCAGTTGCAAAGTTCTGGAACAACAAACGTCACATTCAGTAATTCTTATGGGGGCAAACAATTCTATTGGTCTGATATATCAGACTTAGTCAGATTGCATAAAAATCTGTTTTTCCGACAATATGCTTTCTTTCTTGTCTGCTTTTCAAAACGCAGAGTGGGATATACATTTGCCAAACATTGAAACTACACACAACTTGAGTTCAGACGAAATTCGGCTGGGATCCCTCGCTCTCTCACATGTGAATCACTGCGTAGAGTGTGAAGTGATTCGCCACTTCCAGCATTCGGAATCATTCAAACGTCAGTCCTTTATCCGTCCAAAGTCCATCAAATTACCCCCGAGTTTGAAGTACACTGAAACATTTACAAAGTTTTGAATGTCTTGACGGCCAGGTTCATTGCCTGATGACAAATACTACCTGGTTGCTAATCTAATCACCTCAGTTGGAATGATCACAGTTTTGGGCTGATATGTTGGAATCGCTCGGAATTGCTCATTATCATCATCACCACCGTCATCATCATCATCAGTATCAACAACATCATCATTATGATCATCATCAGTATCATAATCATCATCATACACATCATTATCATTATCATCAGCATCATCATCATCATCATCCAAA